TTCCAGGCTTTGAGATAGAACAAATGGGAGTCATTAGTGAAATGAGTTTAGGGAGTTCTAAATCAGCTGTCAGGCTGCCAAACCCGAAGAAGTGCTATGTCAGCTCATTAATTCTGGAGAGCACTGGATTACCCAAACCTAGGAAGGAATCCTACAAAATTTAGAGTCAATTAAAGGAGGCTATTTTGCCATAATAATATTTTCCACACGTATTACACCTCCTCATGGAACAGAGCCCACTTCTACCACAAACGAAATCTCTGGCGGGATGGAGTGTGGCTGATGTCTAGACAGCTGTAATGTGCTCTCCATGGGCTTGTCCACTGGCATCTCTGGGAAGCTCCAGCTAGAACAGAAGGCGGGGACTGCAAGCTGCCGAGCACATCACCCAGGCTGGGGTGGCCCCAGGAGGGAGGCACCCGTCTCCCCGAGCTCCTTGCTTTCCTCGTACCACCCGAAAAAGCACAGCTGTACGGGCGTGATGTTCTGTATCAGGAACTCCCATGACACGTGGGGGTAATGCCTGGCATCATGCATGCACACCACCTCTTGAATTTGCTTCCCTCCTCGGTCTGCCTGACCCCAGATTTGTCGACACCCTGCTAGCAAACCCATGCTTTGTCAACCTCCCCAAACCTCCTGTCTCAGGAGCATCTCTTGAGTCCTGAGCTAAAACCCGGTGAACGCAGGGGGAGTCTTCGAGAGGACTTCACTGGCTCAGGGTCCATTCCCCTGGGTGGCTGAAAACGCTGGCAGCGATGGGATGCTGAGAAGAGAGATGTCATACCTGTGCGCTGCCCCTTGCGTGGGGTGTCCTCAAACAAAGCCTCCCATGCTGTAGACTAGAAGGTTGATAAACAAGAAGGTTTATAAAATAGATGGCTTATAACCTTCTAGGGGACCCAAGAGTGTTTTTAAACTGTGATAGACTAGGTCAACGGACAAAATACCACTGGATAGCAACCTGGGACGCAGTGACTAATGATCTACCTACATATACCGCATCCCAGCCTTCAGGACACCCAAGCACTCGCCGCAAATAAAAGTTACCTCCACAGAGAGGGCAAGCCCAAAGACCTCTCACACCCCCCTCACCTCTCTCCTGATGGCTATCACTTCTCATCGCCCCGCAGGACAGCAGTAGCCAGGGACAAATTAAAACAAAAATCAGATGGCTGTGAAATACAAATGAGGCAAAAAATGCCTTCACCCAACCAAGAGAGCTCTGTCTCCCCAACTGCGCCGGATACAAAGATCATGAACAAACAGGATAGAATGTCTTCTGCCTTTTGTGAAATGAAAATAAATGAAAGGATCTAAGGTTTCAGGTCACTGATCCCTCTCTTCCCTATCTGTACCATTTATCGGAGGTAGAATATAAAGGTTCCAGGTCCTTTTCTTTTTTTTGTCAGCACTTTAATGGTTGTTTTTTCTCCTTCCCCCTTTCATTTTCTGAATGAAAGGACCACTTAGGAACCTGTAAAGTAATAATAAGCTTATAACAGGAATATTGTTTTTCTGGGCCAGTGCAAACTCCTTCTGAATAGGTTGAAGAGATTAAAGTAAAAATGCAATCTGTAAATAGATCAGTCTTTTAATTAGTTTATAGTCTGTTAAGAGATAATATTTTGCTCACATAGATCGTCTGTTATCTAAAGATCTCAGAGCACTTTAGGAACATCAATTAAACCTTAAAAAAAAAACCAACCTTGGAAGATAGGTAAGTGTATTTAGATTAATTAGTGTTGCTGTGAGCAGCAGGCATTATTATTAGATTTAATTTAGTCCAATAATTGACTTATCTGTTAATGGATTCTAATTCATCTGAGAAGGGATCAAATCCATCTGATTAAAAGAATTACATCGACTCAATTAATTCTATTAACTGACTTAATTTGCCATTTAATAATTCGACACATGGGGTCAGATCTTGGCCCCGAAGAATGCATAAACCAAAAATTACGTACCGGAATTATTATGCCAGCAAAACTATGTATTGCAGAGCATGCATTTTTCCTTGCACGTGGCATTTGCAGACCTGGATAAAACATTCAAGGGGGCTTCCTCCGGCCGGATTGCCCCAGCCCTGCGGTATCTGCTCTCCCGGAACCAGGGCCGGCTGGTCATTTTGCTGTACTCATGGCGGCTGCCTGGAAACGAGCAATTCACTGCCTGAGATCTGCCACCTCCCCTCTTTTCTGGGCATTCTCTTCAACCAAGAGGTGAGAAGTTTTACAGAAGTCAATAAAACCTTGCAATAAAACTAACCTCCCTTCAAAGGCAGGACAACCCTCCCACGCCAGCCATTTGGAAGCAGTATATGTGCAAAAAAAAAAAAAAGCATCTCTTCATTTGGACACTGTTCTTTAACCAGTTGTGAATGTACGGGAGGAGAGGGGAAAGAGGTGCTAAAATGTTATTAGCTCCCCCATCCTTAACACTGGCTAGTGCTAATTGCTGGTGATGAGCACTATGGACCTTAGCCACAGCCACACCGCTCGACAGAGCTTCCCACATTAAGACTGAGTCTGCGTTGCCCTTGCCTAATATTACCTTCTCTTAATGGGACTGACTTGCTGGGAGAATTCAGGGCTGGAGCCAGCTCACGGGCACCTTTTCCCACATCTCTTGCCTTTTCGCAGACGTTCACTCTCGCTCATCCTCCCAAAGCCTTCCCCAGGCTGTAATCCTTAGGACATCAATCCACACCACCTCCACCATCGTCTCCCATGTCAGTGGGGACAGGGTTAAGACAGTGGAGAAGCTGTGGGAGACCGCACCGTCTGCAAGGGCGATGTAGCCAAGAAACGAGCTGGGCACTCCCCAGTGCTAAGCCTGGCTCTGACTCACCAGTGCCAGCGTAGAGGCAGTAAAAGAGGGAAGGAGACAAAAAGGGCAGGAGGAAAAACAGCCGTCTGCTGCCTGAGACGAAAAGTGTCCTCCTTCAGAGGAAGATCCGACCAGCAAGGCGGAGATGTGGATCGAAAGTTTGCAACTGTTGAGATCCCCAGACCTGGTTTAAGCCTCTCTCTGGTCTTGATCAAAGGTTACTCCATAATAATGCCTCGGGGGGAGGGGTTCCCAGCACATAATGAATCCTGTGTCATTGCCTTTGTATCCAGTTTTGGCTGTAACACAGATGGTTCTCACTTCAGTAACTCTGACATCTCTCCCCCCTTCATTATCACAGCTAGGAGCTCTGCGTGGTCACATCCTGGACCTCCATGTCCCACCTCACTGTCTCCCCGATTATCATGCTCTAAGTGTTCCCGTGCCAAGCAAGATGATGAACAGATTTCCATAACCTTTCAGCACAGCTAGGGATGGGAAGGCTTTGCAGCTTGATGCGTCAAGGAGTTTTATTAGGAGGCGTGGGGGAGGGAGCAAGCGGGGGTGTCAGCAAATGGCCTCCATGGCTGGAGCACTCCGGGTTGTTAGAAGGACGCCAGCAACCAGGGGCGGAGAGGATCTGGTGGCGAGCAGCGACGCAGGCACGGGGGAGCTCCCCAGACGGGAAATCTCAGGCTCTGCATTTGTGCAGCATCGCCACCGGTCACGAGCACGCTCCTGCGCGAGGATTTGTTGTTCAGACACGATTGCATATGTATGAAGGGGACAAGATGGGCTTTGACACATAAATTAGCACTTGTCAGCTGCTCACGGGCACACTTCCCTGCTGCACCCCACTGTAAATGCTGCCTTCTTTTATGGAGAGGAAAACTACATCACGTTACCTGACAGTCACTGTGGGCAAGAGCGTTTCCCGGGAAGCCAGCAGCGCGCACGCAGCGACTAGTTTACATATCAAACCTTAAGAGGATGAATGCAATAAAATGACACAATAATTAGCAGCCAAGTGGCACTTTCCACTCCTGTTTTATCTGGAAATTTGGGAATGACAAAGGACAAGGTTGATGAGACCTCGGGGCAAGGCTTTCTCTGAGAGATTGGGTGACTCTACGCAACAGCCATGGGGGTTCATTTCACACCAGCCAGGTGCTTTCTAGCTGTCACCTCCCGTGGCACAGCTCACCCTGCTCCTCCACCCGCACTGGCAGGGGCAGTAGCTGCCCTCTGTGCTAGGCACGGCGTGTACCTCATCCTGCCTGAAGCCCCCCAAGGGAACAACCGTTCCCAGATTTTGACCTGCCATCATCGTAGCCCACCTCCACCTCACCAGTGCTGCACGTGAAGTCAACCTCACGTGAACGTGCATGCTAGCCAATGCATACACAGACATCTGCAGCAATGCCTGAACGCACGGGGCTGTACATCCATAAGAGAAAAAGAACCAGTTCTCTGAACAGCCCTAAAATCCTTCCAGCAACCAACTTGAGCAAAAGTATCTCTGCCGCAACCATCTCAAAACGTACCAGAATTAGAGTTTTTTCGTAATTCAGCCTGCTAGCAGCATTTCTACATGTTGCTTGTGTGCAAATCACAATGAGAAGAGTTGAACATGTTGCTAGGGGGAAGTTCAATTATTTGCGTTCCTGCAGGATCCACGGACCCCGAGATTCAACTTAAGCTCTGGGGTACTCTCAAAGCTCCAAAGTCTGCTTAGTTTCAGCTCAAACCGAATATCCCCCCACCTAGAAAGATGAGAGTGCTTCATTGAAGCACTAGATTCACCCAAACTCGAGCCCAGAGTTCATGGGGAAAGAACATCCCCAATCACCAACCTGGGTATCGTTTATGAATTACAGTAGACACACTGTGAACTCATCCGTTGGGCAGAAAAAGATTTTTCTCCTCAAACACCATCACACACTAATAAATTGGGGCATGATACTACCGTGGGAACTGCCTGCAGCTGGGAGCCGGGCTGACAGCCTGCTCCAACACAGCAAATCCCGCATTCTTAACCTGGAAAGGTTTTTTTCCCTTTTATCCTGTTTTTTATTGCTCTTCTTACTTTTCTCCCAAGAGGTTCTCAGCCCCAACATAGAGGATTAAAGCCTTTGACCTGGAGTCTGGGTGATCCCAGTAAATATTCTTACCATATTTATCTCCATCTTCTCCTTTGGCACTGATCCTCCTGCCGAGCACTTGGATGTGTTTCCCACTTGTCCTGCTGTAGAGCTGATAGAGCCGAAGCTGCTTCCTGCTCACGTCGTCCCTCGCTCGCGTCTGGTTCTCCACGTGTATCCGAAAATCTACATTCTCCTCGGCAGCAAACATCTGAGAGCAGATGGGGAGGGGGGAGAGAGAACAGGCCATGAAACAAAACAAGCATCTTGGACAGAAAGACTGCACACCAACCTGCCAACGGGCACGTGGCGCAAGAGGACTCGGATTTGGCTGCCCTTCACTTGACAGCTGCGGCCGCTGTATCAGGCACTCAACATGTAATTCTAGCCAGAGCTGGCTCTCAACAGTAAACCAAACCTGGGTTTTTACAATCAAACTGTGGGGGGTTTTTGAGTAAAAACTTCTGCTCGGTCCTGCTTTGATTTAATCTTGGTCAGCCACGCTGGCCATAAATTAGGCTCTCCTTTGCATATGCATAGCCTCTACCAGGTTACACGGACACGTATGGGAGAAAGGGGATGGACAACTCCATTTCAGAGAATTTGTGCTTCACCTTCAGCAGCTGCATTGATTCCCCAGATTAACTGCAGGGAAGGGGTCAAGGGAAAAAACTATTTATGCTGACATTAGCGGACTGGACTGTAGCTTCGCACAGGCACAAAATCTACTGCGATAAAAGTGTCACTTGTACACGGGCACTCGTCAGCCTAACTTTTTTGCCAGCTCTGCTTTTCAGTGAAGCCAGTTCATTGGTGACCCGGCATGGTCATGCCAGTCTATGGATGCATCTCTGTCTGCCTCAACTGGGCCACGGCTTGGGTAGAGATCACGAGGACCAGCAAGAGCCAAACCAGCACGTTCAGCCATGAGGCCGTTATCAGCAGGGGTCTGATCGCTTGAGCCACTTCATCTGTTTTTTCTGGCCAATGGATTAAATTAACCTTAGTTCACTACAGCCTTAAAATATTACCAGAAACTTTCTTTGACACGTCTGCCCTTTTCTGGAGGTCTTGTTTCCCATCTTAACTGTTCCCAAGAAACACCGAAACAGGATTCCAGCTTTTGCTTCCAGAGAGTCATCCCGCCTTGCCCAAGGTCAGAGGGCCAGACAACCCAGACGTTCTCAAGATGCCCTCCCAAAGGGGAGGCTGGGCAGCACGCACCCAAAAGCACTTCACACCCAAACAATACGAAAGCCCAGAAATCGCTCCACGATCTGTCCCTGAGAGCGTTTGCACCGCAACATCCACTCTGCCAACTCCAAACTCACAGATGGACAATATTTTTGTGGCAGACTCTCTTCACGGGACAATAAATCATTCAGAAACCAAAAGCAAAAGATTATCGAGTGGCACACACACAAAACCACCACACAATAGGCAACTTTTAATTTGACCAAGACAAAGACCATCCAAGTCTACTCGTTGTTGGTGAGCTCTAATGCTGTGTACCACTTCCGTGTAAGAGACAAAATCCACCACAAAATAAGAATCACATGGGAATTTAGTGATGCCTAGGTTTGGGACTGGCAGAGGAACAACATTTACTCCTAGCAGGGTTACTACTTCTCCTCCTAACACACTCCCACTACGGCACACCTGTCCTCCTTGCCTGCAAGCAACAGTGTTCTGATATATTGGTGTGGGGACGGAGCTGGCGATGCAAATGAAAAAGGGTCAATAAATCCTCGTTCAGGTCCATTCCAGGCTAAAACACGTAAGAGCAAGTGGCCACAACACGCAAAACAGCCCCACTTCAGCCTCCTGCATATGTCATCTCATACCAGCAAATATTTTGAAGCCAAATACTCCCTGAAAGTCAAAACCTCAAAAGAACTTTTTAGCGTTTCCAATTATCGAGTAGACACACAGATCAGCAGCAGGAGGAAAACTTCGGGCAGGCAGTGCTGCTTAGCACCAGACCTTCACTAAGCAACCCAAACAAAAACATTATATCCAACACAGTGGCAACAGCAATGAGGTTCACAGGGATGTTGCGGGATCGCCTTTGCTGCCCTTATTAAATGCTGGGATTATGCTATTTGAATCCCAAGTCCTAGGAGAGAAAGCGATTTAACTCTCTTATTTTACTGTTGGAAGCCAGGAGGAGGCTACAGGAGCTAAACGCACAGGCTGAGCAAAAGGAGATTCAGGGCGATGCTGGGTCTAAACAGACATTCAAGGTGACGACAGAGGTGACAGACAAGAATTACACAATTAATCGTAGCAATATTTCCCACTCTCAGAAAACAGCACAGCAAGAAGCCGTGACCCAAAGCTGAGGACACAAGAGGAGAAGGAGCCATCGCACCTGCCAGGAGGGCACCGCGGGATGCTGACGGAGCTCACGGCCGTCACGCAGCCAGGCTCTGCTCGCTCTCCTCTCCCGAGGCACCGCAGCTACGTCTGAGCTCAGCAAGCAGGACTTGGCTTTTGACATGAATAGTATTAATTTCTTTTTTTCTTCGTACATCTCTTCTTGCTTTCTTTTCAAATGATATTGTTGCAAAGGATGCTAAACTACTAAAAACAGAGATGTTCGAGTAATGTTGACAGTCTGCTTCATACCCACAAAAGCAAGGCTATTTGCAGTCAAGATTCTGGCTCCATCATTTTAAGATTTAAAACAGATTTTAAATCAAGATGACGTCGTTACATTGCTTTCACCACATGTTAATGAATTTCACATTTTTCTAGGAAAAAAAACAAAACAGGTGGGATCTGAAGTGGGGGAAGGGCAGGTTGCTTTGCTTTCTTGGAAACTTCAAACAGAAAAGGCAATCTGTTTTCCAAAACATGTTTTAATTCTCTCTTTTAATTGTCTCTCAAGCACTCACACCGCAGAGGCCCCAGCCCGTAGCCACAGTGCCTGGGTGGACTCTGGAGCACTCATGGAGCCCTCCTGAGCTGTGGTCAGCTCCGAACATGCCACAAACTCGCTTGCGCGTGTTTGCCACAGTTCTCCTGCCCAAGATCAGCCAATTAAGTGTCTTCTCCCTTCGAAGGGCACGCTGCAGCCCAGACGGATGACATCTCCTCCTCCCCCAGCCGAGGGCCTGGCTGGCATCACCCACAACCCCAACACCTTGTCCAAGCCCAGCGGTAGCCTGACGCAGGGATCAGCAGGGGACAGGAACCTGTATCTAACCCAGGGAAAGAAATCCTGGAGGAGGAATGTGCTACAGGTTCTCCTTGCAGCTGACCTGTCCCCTGGTCAAGAAGCCATGGTCCAGAGCAGCAATGGAACCACCAGGATGTAGCTGCCTGCTTAAAGGTAAGCACATGCTTAACCACTCTGTTGAAACAGGATGCTCTGCTGGAGTGTGGCCAAGGTGAATTAGCCGTGCCAGCCTGGGCTGCATCTGGCCCGCAGCAGAGAGTATCAATACTCTAAAATAAAATTTCATGCAGTGTCGATTTCATGAGATAAAACCCATTTGATCATTGCTGAAATCCATTCTCACAGTATCCCTGCCCTAAAGAGTATAGTCCCTCAAGCAGCTAACTCTACTGAGATAAGAAAGTCCATTTATATATACCATAAGAGAGACTCTCTTTCATAAATCTCAAAAAAAATAGTAACATAAGCCTCCCTCGGTAACTGATGGCTAACGCTCACTCAAGAAGGTCACCTAAAACCAAGTCCATCCACCCCCAAATACATTTCCATAACAATCACAACCACACAAAAATGAATGCAGAAATGTCTTTAAGTCCCAGCCCCACTTGAAAAGTTAAGGGCTTTCACTTCTGTTCACCAAAGCAAAAGGAAATCTTTTTTTTTCCTCTTTTTTTTTTTACTATTAATATGTTATTAGTGCATATAAAAACATCATACACAAAATGACCGCCTTTTTTTTGGCCTTTCAATCTGATCATCCATGCATCCATGCTGTAGGCAGCAAAACCTACAGACTCTGGATCCAGCGTTCAGCACAACCGGTCCCTGAAATGAACGGCTGCTTGCACCTTCTAGCTCCCGACCAGCAATGTGCCCTGTGGGACACTCTCTAGGGACAGGAAAAGGATTTCCTGCACTACTTTATCTCCTCCAGCATTTTGGTGGGATTTGGGGTTGTATTGTGGTCTATTTTGCAAATCTATCCAACTGGTATGGGCCGCTGTCTATGCAGGACAACTTCAGCATCTCAGGATAGCGGGTTTCATATAACTCCATCTCGTTCTTTGCCAATGGTTTATAGTCTGCAAAATCCCAGTCGTTAAAACAGAGCATGACATTTGGTTTCATTTTTATTCTTCCTCTCTTTTTCTTTTCAATCAGTTCCTTATCCATTTATTATTTATTTATCACTACATCTTTCAGTGATGATATACAGCTACAAAGACACTCTAAAAATACAGTTGGCAAGACAGAGCTTATGCAAGGGAATAAACAACATTCCTTTTAAAAACCACCATCACCTCAAGCAACTACAACTTCGCTCTCTACAACTCCCTGAAAGGACGATCCCTGCGTCAGGGGGTCGGTCTCTTCTCCCAAGTAACAAGCGACAGGACGAGAGGAAACGGCCTCAAGTTGCGCCAGAGGAGGCTTAGATTGAACATGAGGAAAAATTTCTTTACTGAAAGAGTGGTGAAACATTGGAACAGGCTGCCCAGGGAAGTGGTTGAGTCCCCATCCCTGGAAGTATTTAAAAGACGGGTAGATGAGGCGCTGAGGGACATGGTTTAGTGGGCATGGTGGTGGTGGGTTGACGGTTGGACTCAATGATCTTAGAGGTCTTTTCCAACCTTAATGATTCTATGATTCTATGATTCTAACTGATGCATCAGAAATGCCTCACTCCTGAAAAGACGATGATCTCCCTCCTCTCTGTTGTACTTGCCCAATCATTCAAGGTAGGCGCACTTAGTCCTACCTCCTTTCCAAACAGCCACAGAAACCAGAAACAACATCTGTCTTTAGACAGCCCACACTGGGAGATTTTCAAGTGCTTTTTTGCCGAATGATTCTCAAACAGTGAGTGGATTTCATTTTACATGGCTTTACAACAATTCTTCAGCTTAAAGAATGACTATTTTTTAAATCTCAGATGGAAAGCGAGGGAAAGACCATTTTGCTGATGCAGCCTAAGGTTTCACCATTAAGTAATCCAAGAAACGCTCAAGAACGGCAAAAGCCTCTGACAG